ATCACAAAAACGAATTTGGATTATATATGTTTTAAGTTTGTTTAATCACAAAATTAATTTGCATATGGGGTTTATGTGTAGAAGAAGTTAGAAGTTTGGTTGTAGAAGAGGTTATAAGTTAAGGAAGTTGTGGTTTGGGGTTTGGGGTTTCAAGTTTAGGGATTTACAAACCCTTTCCTCGTAAATCCCTAGTAACAGAAAACGCGGGCATAGCTGTTTCCTCGTAAAGTCCTAGTAATACCATTACTAGGACTTTACGAGGAAAAAAAACGCGGGCATAGCTATTTCCTCATAAAGCAGTTTCATGGTTTTACTAGGACATTACGTGGAGATAAAAACACGGGCATAGCTATTTCCTCGTAAATGCCTAGTAATGTTACTAGGGCCTTACGAGGATAAAAAATCCTTATATAAACTCGAGTAATCCGATTTCTCATTTGTAGTAAGCTTCTCTCTGAATTCTCTTAAGGTTCTCTCTATTTCCTAGTTAGGTGATTAGATTAGAGAATTTAGATTAGGTGGTTAGTTTAGAGAATTTAGATTAGGTGGTTAGTTTAGGTAATTAGATTAGGTTGGTTTACTTTTTTTAACTGTTTTTTTAAATTATATAGGAATTAATGTTTCGTTTTTTTAAAAAAAATATTTAGATGCTAAGGCTAAGAGGCCTCTTCAGGGGAGTCACTACAGAGATCTTTTCGGGCGTCAGTCTGGTCCCTGTTCATCTTTGTCAGCTCCCGGTTCATCTTCGATTCCAGATCCTGACGCTGTTCCCGAGCTCAGGGAGTTTCTACAGCGTCCTGGTCTGCGCAACCACCTCCTCCTCCTCCACCGGTCAGGGTTTATCCCGATTTGCATGTGCCGCCTAACGCACCATTTGCGGTGTACACAGTGGAGGATATTATGGCCCTTCCAGGCAGAGAAGGGCTGCCAGACTTAGATCCTATCCGACGGGATGGCAACAACATATTATGGTATGTTTAAATTTTTTAAAAGTGTTTTTAATTTATTTCTTAATTAACAAAATATTTACAAACTAATCTAATTAATGTTTTATTTTGTGTCTTTCCAGGTATGGTCTTGACGGATGTGTCGCTCAGAGCGTCACGGACTGTATCAAGGGATACTTTCCCGATGCAGCTCTAAACTGGAAGAAGACGCCGAGCCAAAAGACGTGGTTAATTTATTTTTAATTATTTAAAATTATTAATATTATTGAACTAATCCGTCTCTTATTTTTTCTGGTCACATCAAAAATATCGTTGGTCTATAGGGATTCACCAGCGGGTGAAGACGAAGTTTGAAGCGAAGGCAAGAGCACGATTGCTCGACATGGTCTACAACTGGAAGGGCAACTTTCAGGTGTGGATTTATAATAGTATATATATAGTTTTATATTATTGACTTTAATTCAAATCATTTTAAAATTATTTTTCGTTCAGGTGGATGGTTACGAGGACGGGAAACCCGATTGCCTCACAACCGACGTGTGGGATGGCCTCATCAGATATTGGGGGTTGCCGGACTCAGTCAGAACCTCCCACACAAACTCCGGGAACCGCATGACCGAAGACGAGCATGGCAAAACGAAAATGCTTCACACCACGGGTCGAAAACCTCACGGGGGAGTTCATCTAGACATGGTAAGATGATTTTTAATAACTATTTATTTTTACTCTATTTGAATATTCCAAATTAATATTTAATTTTAAAAATGATTTTTAGGCTAAAGAGACGAGTCCTCTATCTCTGAAAGACCTTTACGAGACGACCCACCGGAACAAGGGTGGGCAGTTTGTAGATCCTGCTTCCGAGCGGATCTACAACGAGGTTATTGCCCAAGTTGACGAACACCAGACCCAGCTGACTCAGCAGACTGGGACTCCTGTCATATTATCCACTCTTGAAGTGGATAAGATTTACGAGGAGGTAAATAATTTTTTTTACTATTAATTTTTATTATTTATTTAAATTTTTTCTTAACGTTATTGATATTTTTATTTACAGGTCGCCCCTAGGAAAAAGGGCGTATCGTCGGGATTGGATCGGTTAACGATGTCCCCACAGCGACATCGTCTTATGCTCAGGAACAACACGATGTCAATGCTCAGCTGCGCTTGGAGTTGCAGGCGACGCAGTCTCATGTGAGTTTGCTCACCGAGCATGTGAGTTCTCTCACCGATGTCCTCGACATTTTGGCGGTTGGAAACCCGCAATTGGCGGAGATGTTGCGTCAGAGACGGGAAAGCGGAGGGCTTCCAACCCAACAGCCTCCACCATCACAGTCACAGCCGGCAACCAACTTTGGAGAGGAGGATTTGGCGAGCCAGGACGATTTCGTTCGGCAACTTAACGAGCACCATCCGTAGTTTTATTTTATTTTTAATTGTATATTATGAATTTAAAACTTAATTGTATATTATTTAGTTATTTATAAAATATTTTGTTTTTTTATTTTTTATTTATAATTTGGTTTTTTAATTTTTTAAAAGTATATTATTTATATTTATAATTAATATTTTTTTAATAGGGAAAAAAATAATTCGAAGCAAAATCCTCGTAAAGGTTTCGAAGTAATGTCCTCGTAAATTATTCTAGTAAGTTCCTCGTAATGTATTACTACGAGCTTACGAGGAAATCATTTATTATGACATTACGAGGACCTTAAGAGGAAAGCTAACCACGCGTTTACGAGGAAAAGTTTCCTCGTAAATTAACTAGGACCTTACGAGGAAAAATACTTTACGATGAACGTGTTTCAACGAAACGTGTTTCCTCGTAAGTTCCTAGTAAATGGTCATTTACTAGGAAATAACGAAGAAAACTCGTCCTAGTAATGGACGAGTTTTCTTGTAGTGAGAAACCCTAATGAAATTTATATAAATTCAGTTAAAGTAGTATTAATTAACTAACTTAGTAAGCTTTAATACATGCATAAACTGATATATTAACTAATTATATGTAAAAAATGCTATGTGTATGTTAAAGCATAAACATCTTAAATATTTTTTTTTTACCTAAAAGAAAGTTAATTGGTTAAAATATACACATACATATTCCAGAGTAAACCTTTATGTCTGTAAATATACTTTTATGAACTGAAAAACCAAAAAAAAAAAAAACGAAACAAAAAGCATTATGGATTGCATTAATATTAGATCAATGATTTTTTTTTTACAATTTTACAAAGTCACATTTTAACTCCTGACCATGTAACAGACTGTGAACATAAAATCACTGAGGAGGTGTCTTATTATTGATTGGGCTGATGAATATGGAAACATTGGTGAGGGGCATAGTCTCTCTTCCAGCACAGATGATATCGTGAATGACAGTCTATTAGGCCCACGGATGTTAAAGCCTTGGTTGATTCTGCTAGAAACCAGAAGTTTACCTTTGGAGACCTGCGAAAACCATGTGAATGATTAACGAAGCTGTAGGCCATATTATTGCATGGCCTAAGAATAAATGTCTTGAACTAGGCTAGGGCCTCCAACCAGAAGACATTACACCACTGGTAAAGGTTTTTTGTTCTGTTCTCTTAGTAGTTAAGGTTAGACCTAAGAATATTGATTTTGCCTTTGATGATATAGTTTTCTCAATGTTTGTCACAGGGCTTCAGAACAAATTCTCTCAACAAATGCAAACTACTGGATTTATCTGATGATAGTGTAATTGCTGGTGAAGGACATTGTAAGACACAAGAATCAAAAGCATTGGTTAATGGAATTCCCCTCAGACCAAAAGCAATTAAAGTCTTTTTGGATGTGGTACTTGAACCTACTACATTTTTATGGAGACCTACGTCGGAGGTGGCATACCTTGAGCACTGCTTAAGGAGTTTTATATCATGGTGTACTCACAAAATTGTCTCCAAAAACCCACCAGAAGAAACAAGAGAAACAATTCTAAAAGTTGCATCTCTCGGTTCTTTGTATCCTACTGCAACAAGTCTACAAAAAAACAACAACATCAACAGCTCTTACTGAGAAGTCTACATCAAGTCGGGTAACACTTTTTTTTAGGTTTAACTAATATTGTTCTTATTACTGTCTGAGTTTGAAATGGATTTGTATGGTAAAATGACAGCCAAACCATGGATCTGAAACAATACAAGTGAAATCAGAAATGCAAATTGATGGACATTGGTGGATGGAAACATGTTGTTGCCGAATGACGTATGCATTCAACAAACCTAGATCAAATAGTCCAAAAATAGGAATAATAGGAATAAAAGCATAACCAAATTAGGTTCAAAAAATTCGGGTCCTTAACATTGTTATCTGAATCAAACCAAAATATTAAATAGCCAATCTGAAACCAAACCCGAGTTCATAAATAACTGAATGGTTTCTAAATATATGGAATCAAAAAAACCAAAAACCATAACTGAATCAGAACCAAAAAAAGAAAAAACTGGAACTGAACCGAAAATTGAACGTCCATGACTATTAGGGAGCAACCAAACGGATTAACAAATTTGTAAAGCATAATAATCATGCGCTTTAAAGCGCGAGTCAAAATCTAGTAACAGTTTATATTTTATGAAGTTATATGTAACTTTCAATCTTACCCCATAAAAAGTGTGGGTTTTGACCTAGTTTCTATAATATAGTACATCAAACCAAAGTTATTTGTGTACTTCTCTTCTAATATATTAGATGGAGTTTTAAGAATGGTCACATGCATGTTAGGGTCTTGTTGCTCTTAGTTTGGAAACTTTTATTTATTATATAAGACTTATGAGTGCAAAATCAATAAAATAAGATGCCAGTCAGCATTTTCTCAAAAGTTTTGTTTATTTGTTTATGTGAAACTTTTAATTTATTATAGAAGATATAAAACACACACAATAGTTAAAGGGACATTGCATTCACCAACATCAACGAACGCAAAAGTATGTCGTAAGACATATGCAATAACGATCTTTTGAACCTTTATATGTTTGTAAACTGAGTTTAATTAATATGAACTCAGGAGCTTGGAATCAGCATATCAGAAGGTTAATGGTTTATGATTCGAGGAAGAGGAGTGCATTTAAGGGGATGAGCCAAACCCAAAAAGAATCTTAACCCGGAAGCTTCTTCCATGTTAACTTCATCTCCTTTGATTTCCCAGTCAAAGTGCTGCACCATCACACCAATTGCGGTTCCTACTAAAGTATATCCCAGATTTGAGCCCATACATCTTCTTCTTCCGGCTCCAAAGGAAAGGAACTTTAATGCATGCTCTCTTCTCTTCTCCTCTTGCCATGATCTTGAAGAAGCTAGAAACCTCTCTGGTTTAAATGTATTAGGATCTTCCCAATAATCTGGATCTCTCATCACATCATAGGCATTCATAACGAGTATTGTACCCTCGGCTATGTAGAAACCTCCCACAGTGCACCCTTGCTGAAACTCTCTTGGCAAAACAGGCCCCACTGGGTGCAATCTTAGAGATTCATTGATGACCGCTTGCAAGTAAGGGAGTTTTGGTAGGTCAGTTTCTTGAATCAGCCTTTCTTTCCCCACCACAGAATCAATTTCTTCTCTCAGTCGCTCAAGGATATTAGGGTTGTTGATGATTTCTGCCATTGCCCACTGTGTGGTTGTAGAAGAGGTATCCCCGGCTCCAAAGAAAAGTTCCTGCAGTGGCATATTTATTTTAGTATGTATTTATGAAATATCACAACCAACAATGAGTGTAGACAATTACCGTGAATAATCCCTTGATATGTTTTCTAGTGATCTTATACTCTGCGTCCTCGTCCCGAGAAGCTGCCAACAATGCATCCATAAATTCATTACCTTGGTGTACGTCTAGTTGTTGCTCTTCGTATTTCACTAGAATCTTTTCCAGCAGCTCATCAAATCTATTTGAAACATCCATTATATTCCTTTTTAACACTGAGATCCCAACCTTCTGAAGCATCTTATGAAAAACTTGTGCAATAAAAAACTCGGGTGACAAGGCACCAAACTCGACACAAAGTTTGGAGACAGCCTCATTGTTATCCTGCGAAAAGACACTTCCCATGCTCATCTTTCCAAGGGTGTAGGTAACAAGTCTAATCGCTTCCTCACCAATATCAACGCTCTGTTTCTCTATTGCCTTATCGAGCAAATTTTTATAGAACCGCTCTAGCTCAAGTTCACGAACTCCACGTGAACGCTCCAGCGCCTGGGGTCCGATCATCTTAGTCATCATGATCTTCTTCATGAACTTCAAGTAATCTCCACAGGGAGCTCTGATGAACCCAAATAATCCAAGCATCATGCACTCATCGATGGCAACATCACCGCGATAGGAAACATTTATGTCTTGGGCCTTGAAAATCTCGTAGATCACTGATGCAGAGGAAACGAGAACTATGCGGAGATTGAGGATGCGGATATGGAGGAAACGCCCGTAAGTTGATGAGATTTTCTGAAAGGACTTGTGGATTGAAGCAAATAGGAAAAGAAAATTTAGTGAAAAGATTTTCTTGTAAAAAACTTGTCTTAATATTTTTTGGTAAACCTCTTTTGTGAAGATTTTTTGGGGAAAATTTTCACCAAAAATTATAAGGACGAATAGGTGAAGATAACCGATGACTGGAAGAGAAGGAGGACTTGGAGGCAACTCATTTTTTGGCTTCTTGGAGAAAAAGGCGAATAGAAAGAGTGTTAAAAAGAAGAATAAGAGAGCAGAGAAGAAACAGCTTTGACAATCAAAACTGACCATTGCTGCCGTTGTTGTTCTAAAGCGATGCGGAGGAAAATGCCTTAAGAAGATTTAAATACGAGACTTGTAACAAATCAATAGCTAGTTCTATTAAATTATTCCTCTTTTCTCTTTGAACTTCTGATAAGCTGTCTTGTTCATGTGGAAGAGTCGTTTGTCTTACGGATCAGTTCCTAGTTTTGAGCTGATTTATGTCATTTTAGGCTGTTAGCGAGGATTAGGAAGTTTGTGCAACAAGTTATATGAAGTGTGAAAGCAAAGTGTGGTTCAAGCACTCATAATATTGAGTTTAACTGTTTTTCAATGCGATCTTAATTTAGACTAGATTAGTTATCGCGTGATAGGCATGACTATGACGGGCATAACTATTTTTTAGATTATTCATATTATTTTTTTGTTAGGTTAATATATTAAATCAACCCGAAAATGGAAATATAGAACCGATTACAAATCCAACTTAAAACAAAAGCACTCAAATCAAATTATTTCCTAACTAGATTTCCTCATCCATAATCCCCAGAGCATTCTGCTAGCTTGGATCTAATATCATTAAGCGTCGACCCCCACCTTCATTTATTTATTAGAAATTTTCATTTTATAAATCGAAACTAAGAGAATTGATCTAAATTAACCTAGAAACCTGAGTACTCCAAAAATCTAGAGCTAGTTTCATACAAAAAAAGACTCCAAAAAGCAAACCTTCAAAAGGGATGAAACACTTAATTTACATATTTCAAATCAGAGCTGGCATAAATTGATGCCATTTTTGGTTAAAAGCGAAGAAGAAGGATGAATGGACGACAGCTTAAATCCATTAATATAAGAAGGTAATCAGTGGAGAACTGAAAGTATATAATAGTGTTATCAGAAGTTGCTTGCAATACTCGTGATCAGATTGATGGTTGTGTGTATCACGGTTGACTTAAGATGAGGAAAAGATGCTGGTGGGAAGTTGACCTTCTCATGTGTAAGAGTTGTGTGTCCAACGGTTCATTTCGTGTGTCGAAGAAGTTTTGTGGAAGATGATAACTTTGCAGGATCATGTAATTTTTTTTTAAACGAAGATTATGTGATTTATGGCTTTGACTAGTGTTGAATCTATTGTGCTGTTGAACAAACAATAATTTAACCATAAAGTATGGTTTACTTAAGTACAACCCAAATTGTAACACTCATGTTCTTCTCATTGTGTATCATTTAACTCATTGATGATTGTTTGGATGGTTTTTAGATTTTGTTTCTGGCTTTTGGCTTTGGTTTTAAATATTAGTTTTTAGTTTTTGCTTTTGGTTTCCAACAAAATAAAAATTGATAAGAGAATACATCTCGAATTTTAATGAACAATGATAAGTAAATAGATTACACTAAAGGACCTCTTTGTAAATACTAAGTACTATTAGTTATCCTACTTGTATTCATTCAGCCTAACGTATATGGTATCAGAGCTTGATTAAACCTAATCAAGAGCCGCCATCTTCTTTTTCAAACTCTTTTCTTCATCTCACCATGTTTGCAACAACCTCGCCGGCATCAACAACTGAAACCATCGCTGTCTCAGCCACTACATCCGTTCTCAATGTCAATATGACAAACGTAACGAAACTCACCAGCTCCAACTTTCTGATGTGGAGTAGACAAGTCCATGCTCTGCTTGATGGCTATGATCTGGCCGGCCATATCGAGGGATCTATCGAAGTTCCTCCCGTGACGATCACAACTGATGATGGCACCACACCCAACCCGGCTTACACTCTTTGGAAGAGACAAGATCGCTTGGTTTACAGTGCCTTGCTTGGAGCGATCACTCCAACGATTCAACCCATCCTCTCCACTGCTTCCACAGCGTTTGAAATCTGGCAAACTCTTACCATGACCTACGCCAAGCCAAGCCGAGCCCATGTCAAACAGATTCGCCAACAAATCCAGAACTAGAAGAAAGGAAGCAAATCAATCAATGAGTTTTTCCAAGGACTCACAACACGATTTGATGAACTTGCCTTGCTCGGAAAGGCACTTGATCACGAAGATCAAATTGAGTTTGTACTCGATGGTCTTCCTGAGGAGTACAAGACCATTGCAGATCAGATTGATGGTCGTGAAACTCCTCCATCACTTCCTGGATTCACGAGAAGCTTCTGAATCACGAAGCCAAACTCCAAAGTGCTGCTCCTCCATCGTCTCCCACTCTTGTTACTGCCAACTACACCAATCACAGAGGTTCCAAGAATTAGACTCGTGTCAGCTACAACAACAACAACTCACGCCGTGGTGGTTATCGTGGGAACCAAACCTGGCAGCAACAACAAATGGTTTCTTCACCCCAGCAGCAGACCAGCTCATGCGGCTATCAGGGAAAGTGCCAAATCTGCAGTGTCTTTGGACACAGCGCTCGACGGTGTCCTCAACTCCATGGCAACAGCTCTAATCAGATGTCACCGCAACACAACCTCCCCTGGCAACCTTGGCTCTTGGACAGTGGCGCCACCCACCACCTCACCGCTGACTTGAACAACCTAGCCTTACATCAGCCGTACTCGGGTGGTGATGAAAATGCAATTGCAGACGGTACAAGTTTGAAAATCACACATATCGGCTCTGCTTCACTTCCTACAGTTTCAAAATCACTTAAGCTTCAAGATATATTATGTGTTCCAAGCGCTAATAAAAACCTGATTTCGGTTTACGGTCTTTGCAATGCTAATCAAGTCTCTATGGAATTCTTTCCTGCCTCTTTTCAGGTGAAGGATCTCAGCACGGGGGTCCGGTTGCTTCAAGGCCGAACGAAGGATGATTTGTATGAGTGGCCAGTGTCCCTTACCCAGCCTTCAGCTTCCCATGTTACCTACCCCGATACCAAAACCAGTTTAGCTCAATGGCACCAGAGACTTGGCCACCCATCTTCTCTTAATTTAAAATCTGTTGTTTCTCAATTTTATTTACCATGTTTCAAAAACTCTGCTTCTGTTTCTCCCTGCAACGATTGTTTGCTTAATAAAACTCAACAGCTTCCTTTTCATCAGAGTTCAATTTCCTCCTCTCACTCTCTTGAATACATTTTCACAGATGTTTGGCAATCCCCTATTTTACCCACTCAAAATTATCGTTACTAGCTTGTCCTCGTAGACCATTTCACTAGGTACACCTGGTTATTCCCTCTCACTAAAAAGTCTGATGTCAAAACCATTTTCGAAACCTTCAAACCCATTGCTGAAACTAAGTTCAAACACAAAATCTGCAACCTTTATTCTGACAATGGCGGAGAGTTTTTGGCGCTTCGTCCGTTTCTTGCACATCACGGCATCACCCATCTCACCACACCTCCTCATACACCCCAACACAATGGCCTATCCGAGCGAAAACATCGCCACATCGTAGCAACTGGCCTATCTATACTCTCTGCTGCAAATATGCCTCTCATACACTGGCCTTTTGCCTTTGCCACAGCTGTATTCTTAATCAATCGTCTACCCACACCAATCCTCTCTAACATCTCCCCTTTTCAGAAACTCTTTCAAACACCCCCAAACTACCAAAAGCTTTGCACTTTCGGCTGCCTTTGTTTCCCATGGCTTCCCCCCTATGCACCAAACAAACTCCAAGATCGATCTCTACCATGTATTTTTGTTGGATATTCTTTGTCTCAGAGTGCTTATCAATGTCTTGATCCTATCTCTGGCCGCATTTACATCTCTCGCCATGTTCGGTTCAATGAGACTGAATATCCATACCCTACCATGACCAAGCCACTACAAGAAATAAGGGTTTTAACAGCACCCGAAAATCGCTATCGTACGATACCATAGCGTTGTAGAAAGCGCTCCAACATCGCCCGCGATAATAGGTCTGGTCCATTAGATAGCGGTTTTGTTATCCGCTATTGATATTATTTTAGTAATAGCGTTTTCGTTTATGCAATTGTAAATTTTTTTAATAGCGTCTCTANTAGAAAGCGCTCCAACATCGCCCGCGATAATAGGTCTGGTCCATTAGATAGCGGTTTTGTTATCCGCTATTGATATTATTTTAGTAATAGCGTTTTCGTTTATGCAATTGTAAATTTTTTTAATAGCGTCTCTAAAATCTTATTATAACATTTTTACTATAGCAGTTTTTTAATTTTACTGTAGCATGTTTTAACTACTATTGTAGTGTTCTATCAATAGCAATATTTGAATTTTTCATTGCATTTTTAAAATGTAATTGTTTCATTTCATTTATGACAAATTTAATTTAATATTTGTATTTTGAAAATAATAGAAAAAAAATTAAATTATCCGAATATTTATTAATTATATTAAATTTGTAATAAAAACAATTTAAATTATTCAATTTTATTCAGTAATTAAACTTTGTTTACAAATAAAATCAGTTTATACATTAAACCTATAAAATTAAACCAAAACCTAATTAACCAAACCTAAATAAACCAAAAATTTAATAACTAAAAAATTTAAACAAAAATTAATAAACCAAAATCTACAGCTCTACGTCTCTTTCTTCTCTTCGTGTTCAGCTTCACCTACATCACCACCACCACTAGCTTTCTCTGCCATCTCCTTAAGCCTATGCTCTCTTACATCATCTGGAAAGTTAAGCATTAGCATCAGACAAGATCTGAAGAAGCTCGGCTCGGTCATCAAATAGTGAGTCAAGGATAAACTGACCAAGTTGTTTCCTAGTGTTCTTCTTGATGCTTACTTCTTCAGCTTCATCCAACAGTAGGTTCATGTACTCGTCAAAACCCTGTGAAAGGAGAAAAAAATGAAATAACGAGAATGTCACGCTCTCAAATTCTCCAAATTAACATAGATATTGGAACAAAAAAGTATAGCGATACAAACTGAAACAAGGAACATCCAACGTCAAGTATGTTTGAGGATTAAACCAGTAAGGATGGCAACATTATTTATCTCAAGTTTCCCTGAACTAGCACTGAGTCAATTTTTTTAAAAAAATAATCTTTTTAACTCAGAATAATAAAAGTATAGCAATAAAAATGA